TTCCTGGTTACAGAGATAATAGTCACTAAATTCTTAACATATAAGAGAATAAAATTATTAAACATTGTGTGTGGCAAATTGAATACGTGTTTTTAAAGCATAGGATATGAGTGCAGCCAATTTGAACAGTAAATTTAAATCTCCATCGACGGTTAAAACCAAATACTCAGGTAGAAAATCCCAAACAATTTTAAAGTTAAGGAGATATTTTTCAATAGTAAAAAGGATAAAGGAAACTCTTATTTAAATATCTATCGTTTTTAGATACTTTATATTGATTTTATTAAACAAATCATGGTCCCGCCATGTTTAGTTAAATATCAAATTAAAGTATTGTAGCAAAAAACCTATTATCAAATTAACTATTAAAATTATTTGATTAATTAAAATTAACTATTTACTTAATAAAGGTTAAAAATTAATTGTTACAAAACTTCACTAAAACCTTTTTCATGGCTCATACTATATGCCAGTAATCTTTATCTTGTAATTATCTAATAATTATATTAATTTAAATAAAAGTCACTGTGGCTATGTATGTATGTTCCACATCTCCTCCTAAACCACTGGACTTATTTCAATCAAACTTTTCACTTTTTTTATTTAAGAAAAGAGAAAGGTCATCTTCAACTTTTCAAAGCCTAAAAGATGCTTAAAATTTCACTTAATTAAAAATTAAGCAAGGCGTTTTTCCGCGATGTCTTTCATCTCCATAAATTTGTTTCTCTCATTTTAATATTTTTTTCAAAATTAATTTTAAACTGAATTCGTAACAATATTCTTGTTGATCAAAAATAACTGTTTCCAGAAGGAAGAATGCTAAAAGAAAATTTTAAAAGTAGACGATTTAACAATTTATATCGGGACCAGCTATTGATTTATTTTTACGCTTTAAATTAATGAATAATTAAATAGTTAATTTAATTGTTTCAAAATATTCATTAAACCCTTTCATTGACTTTAGTAATTGTTAACAAAATTTGAAGTACCTACATAACAAATAATAACGTATGAAGAAAACGGCTGTTTTTAAAAATCGTCTGGTTCAATTGATATTCTCATTTAAGTGAAAGCGTTTTAGATCAGAAAAGGAATTTGTGTATTATAATATTTATACAATAGTAATTTTTACATTGAAAATATTAAACATGAAAACATTTTAATCCGGAGCAAAGCCAGGTATATCAATTAACAGTTATAATTTACAAAATTTAACAAAGATATTAACTATAAATTAATTAGTCATAAATTAATTATATATTATACCGTATAAAGTAAATGCGGTTGATGGAAACTCATAACTTCTAAGTAATTCTTGCTGTCAAAAACTTTCAATATAAAAGTAGTTTGTTGTGATAAGGTGATAATTCCCGTAATTGAAATTTTCTTTTTATCTTCAATCTTAACGAAGCCATGGGGAAATGATAAATTGGGGGGGGGGATTGAATATCGCTTTTCACCGCATAACTTATAATCAATTCTAGCAGACAAAAAACTTTTAGTATAAAAGTTGTTAGTTATCATAAGGTGATAATTCGCTTAATTGAAAATTTTTTTCTATCTTTAGTCGTAAGAGAGTTATGGGGAAATGATAAGTTGAGGAGGGGATTGAAAATGGCTTTTTAGCTCATAACTTCTAAGAAATTGTGGCTATCAAAAAAGTTTCAATACAAAAGTTGTTTGTTGTGATAAGGCAATAATTCGCCTAATTTGAATTTTCTTTCTATCTTGAATCGTAAGGGAATTATGGGAATATGAAATTTTCAGTCCCCCACCGTTTCCATCCCCTTTGAACTGGTTAGCCCATCTGCGAACTCGGCCGAGATTTTCACCGTCCTTACAATATATCCGTCGCCAGTTAAAATCTAATCAAAATTCCTCTAGTTATCGTGTTTACGAAATAACACGGGCCAAAGCGTTATAAATATACTTCTCTACTACTAATAATAAGGAAAAGAACATTTTGCCCTCTATTCTCATAAGTATTGGAGCTACAAGAATGAAAGAGGGTGGAAGAAACTGCAAATGACGAGAGCTTTCCAACAAGGGGTAACATGCTATGGTTAAAACGTACTTTAAGTTAGGGGGAGAGGAGGGGAAGGGTGGGAAAATCACTTTTCAGCTCATAACTTCTGAGGAATTTTAGCTATCGAAAAAGATTAAATTCAAAAATTGTTCGTTATGAAAAGGCAATAATTCGCCTAATTTGAATTTTCTTTCTATTTTCATTTGTAAAGAAATTATGGGAAAATGAAAATTTCCGCCCTCCACCATTTCCACCCCCTTTGAGCTGGATAGCCCATCTACGAACTCGACCGAGATTTTCACTATCCTTATAACATATCCCAAGCTGGTTAAAGTTACATAAAAATTACTCTAGTTATCGTGTTCACAAGATAACATGGGAAAAAGCGTTATACATTATATATATATAACTTTTTAACGAAGGGTGGTTTTGGGTTCTAGGGGTCATGATCGGTGAAGATCTGCAAAAATTTTCCGAAAGTCGTGTCATGAGAACCATTGCAATAGATAGAGTTCCTATAAGGAATCTACCTAAAAGTTTATCATCGCCCCTTTGCATATTACAGTAAAACCTGTACTAAACGGAATCGAAAGGGACCAGAAATATTTTCCGTTTTAGACAGGATTCCATTAATATACGAGGTTTTCAAATGTATATATTAATTATTTAAATTAAATCAATTGTAATTAAAAAATTATCTAATATTTACAAAATCCAATAAAAATATAATATTGCAATAATTACGTTTTAATAAGTGTCACATTTTAAAATTAAGATTTAGTTAAATTTTAAAATTGCTGAACGTTACAAGAACTGTTACAGATTTTATTATATCACTTGCATTTGATGGTGTTTTTATATTAGCTAGTAAAGATTGTAATAGAAATTTTCGAAAATTTAATTTGACACAACGCATAATTCCTTGATCCATAGGTTGAGTAATGCTGGTTGTATTTGGGGGAAACTAAGCTAATTTTAAGTTTGAAAGTTCTATGCGAGGGTAATATGCCTACTATGCCAAAATATGCCTACTTATTTTCTTTTTGCATTAAAAGTTTTTAACCATTCTTCCATTATTGCAGCAGTCATCCATGTCTTTTTGTTCGATTTCCATATTACAGGAAGTTTTTTTACGTCCGGATTTTTAAATTGCCGAGGCTTTTGCAGCCTTGCCAATTACTAAAAATTTTTCGATTTCGCCAGTCATAAAGGCACAAAATAGCACTGCGAGACGCTGTTTTAATTGTTTACCACTGGTACACTTTACTTTTTTAATACATAAAGATTTTGTTGGTAAGCCACGAAAAAACTTTCATCGGCATTCGCAATATTTTGAGGTTCATAGCCTTCAATGAGTTTTTCAATTTTTTTAATCCACGTCTCATCCGAAACGTTCCCAGCTTTACCACAGACTCCTTTGAAAGACATCCCATGTCTTTCTCTGAAACTTTCAAGCCATCCATTTGATGCAGGAAAACCGGTTTTTCCTAATTTTTCTGCAATATCTTTAGCTTGGGCTTGTAATATAGGTTCAGATATCGGAAGATTTCGAGCTCTTGCATCTACAAACCACTCCCATACAATTTCGTTAATTTCTTCGTCAGCTGTTCTCCGCATTTTTCTCTTGGTTGAGCCATTTCCATTCAACCATAGTTCGTTCAGTTATTTCGTTCTTCTTAAATATTTCGTAAAATTGAGATTTGCCTATTTTGAATTTTTCAATAATTTGTTTCGCGCTCAAATTATTTTTCTCTTTAATTATTCCCATTTTAGTATCAATATCCAAAACATTCTTTTTATGCATTGCCATGACTAAAAATATCATCCGATCCTGATCAGCACTTAAAACTAGATGACTAAAAGCTGAACTATGTACAACGATGAGTCAGCGCATTTAAAATGTGTGATATACAGTGGCGGACTGGCCAGTTTGTCAGATGTAGTGCCCCTTTAGATATTAGACAATAAGGCCTTCAAGCCCATTTGTCTAAGATCTAAGGACAACCAAATCTAATTAATATGGGCCCCTTTTGTCTCCTGACAACTAATATTTTCCAATCCAGTCCGCTACTGGTGATATAGATATCATTATATGAAAGAAAAACAAAAATGGTTTGCTCCGCGGAATGCTTTTCTTTTTATAGAAGGAAAGAAAAAACTTTCAGAAATGGCGCGAATTTTTGTCCGTTGGAACACGTTTTCTAACAATGAAATATTGTTAATTGTTCTTAAAGATTCTGTCCGTTTCTGCGTTAGACAGGTTCCGTTTTAGGGAGATAAACTATGGAACTTCCTGTATTTTTTGACGGGACCAAATATTTTTTCCGCTGAAGACAGGATTCCGTTTCTTACAGTGTCCGTTCTAAACAGGTTTTACTGTACCAATATTTCTATGTACTGAACGAGAATACTTGGGCCATGTTTCTATTCTACCAAATTTCAGTAATCATTCTTCATACATTTTACTGGTCTCGAACTTTTCCAGCGTCTAAGGGATCTACTTCATAATTACACAGCATTTCGAGGTTTTATTGCCCACTCCGGCCTGCTTACCCAAAGGTTGTAAGCATGTGACAAATCGGTGAAATAGGTGTCAATAGCACGCGGTGTTCTCTGGTAGTCACCCTCCCAAGTACTGACCGCTCTCGACGCTGCTTAATTGCTGGGGTCAGATGACAACCGGCGCTTTCAGCACGATATGGCAGCATTTCGAGTTTAGAATACGAGTTTATACTTTCTCAGATTAATAATAAAGTGTGTGACGTCTGTCCATACATTTTACCCCAATGCGCAAAAACAGACTCATTACAAGAAATACAAAAACGGCTCAAAATGGCTATTTTGATTCGATATACCGCTTGGTACAACTAAAGTGCACATAAAATTCCGAGGGAAAATTTAACTAAAAATCACATTTGATTTGATTCACTTTTAATCGCACTTTAATTTCTAGGGACTGACTGAGCCAAAATTATAGCGAATGACAGACACAATACAGAAAATATATAGTTCGAGCGAGATAATTTTTAATAAATTCTGTTTATCTCAAGTATTCGAATTTTTGAATAAAAACTAATGAAATCCAGGAAAAGGAATATATGTGAAAATCCCATAGTAAGAGGAACTCTATCACTGCAGCTAAAATTTAGGTGTTCAATTGCAATATGCTAAACCTAAATATGGGGAAAATACATGTCCGGGAAAAAAAGTATTGCTTTCCAAAACAGAGTTACAGTGTGATGATCCATATACCTTATTTAGGAGAACCAGACGTTTCTCAGCAGGTAATAAAATTAGGATCGTTATTGCTCATATGACAGGGTATAGCTACAGAAAATGTGAAAAAAATTTCCCCGACTTTTCCCTGATTTATATTAGTTTCTTGGCTTTCTCCCTACTCAAAATCACTGTATGTGTACAATACACATTATTAAAAACACTTTTACCAGTTATTTAATATGAAAAATAATATATTTTTATGAAATTTAATTTTTAAAGAATGGAATGAACATCTTAAAAAAATCTATTAAAACAGTATATTACATTTCTTATATGTAAAAGAATATTGGAAATTTTAACAAAATACTTTGTTTCGAAAACTGCATAAGAATTCTAAGAAACATTAAAACTACTCTTTGCAACACAAGTTAAATTATATTAACAGTAAAGGTTATTATGATCTTAGCTCAAAACTTCAATAACTAATTAGTGCTCTTTGCATGAGTACCAGAATAACATGTTGGAACATAAATATAAAAATAGTATAATTATACGTACCTAATAATATATATTTTTGCAAAGATCTAAACAAGAGAAACTGCCAAAATATTACTTCAAATCTTTATTCGTTAACAAATCATAAGAAATTAATTGCTCTAATCAAAAACTTATGCTTTGATAAATGAATATAAGTTCTTTTAAAAATTCCATTTATTATTACAAATATTGCTAGACATAAGATACTAATTTATAGATAATAACTCAAGTAACTATTCAATTTCCCCCTATTTTTAGATATTTTTACGAATTTCCCTGACTTTCCCCCCAATATTCAGGTTCTGTCGCCACCCTGTACGAAACATTTAAGTTAAATGGTGAGCAGCAGGTTTTCTCATGACATTTTCGGCAAGTTTGGAAATTTTAAGCACCAATAAAAAAACACGACTTCAAATTATTTCATCAATGAATAATTTAACAATGTATACAATTCTGTCCAATTCTCTGTACATCGACATACATTTCTCTACATTTTTATTTGGACGGGTGATTTTTTTAAATAAAAGAATCAAGTAATCAAGCAACACAAGCATTTATTGACAAATGGAACATAATACAATAACCATGACACAAATTATCAGATTAACGTTATACATTAAAAAATATATAATTATATTTTTTAGTTACGTTATAAATTACATACAATGTATAGAATCTTCAATACAAATTGCTAAGCACTCTAACATATTTATTCCATTTATATTAACCATTAGAAAAAGATAAATCATTGTTTACAACTGCCTGTTTATATAGACAAACTTAATGCAACATTTGTGCCACAAATAGAAAAGATAATGAAAAGAAAGGATAGTGTACTTTAAAAAAAGAAAATGATCGTGAAAAAATAGCGAGTCCTTAAAATGCCTGAACAGCAAGAAGTGCTTCTTCCAAATCGGCACATAAATCCAATAATTCATTTCTTCTTTGGAACTCTTGTTCACATTCTTCCAGAATCGAAT